CCAATTTCATCTTCTAGACTTTATAAAGTTGGATTTTAATTTTTCATACTTTCTACTTTTATATATAAGAGGAACATGTGTTTCAGTTTCGTTCTGTATTATGTAATCTTTGTCGTTTAATCAGGCAACATGCATATTATGGAACTATTTTCTTTGGTCAAATGGTTTCTGCAGTTTTGTGGAAAATTCAGCATAATTGTATGAAGCCTGATTTTTCTTCATTTTTATTTTAATTTACATATCATCTTGTAAAGTTTAACTCTCTTGGGTGACATCCAATGTTAAAATCTATGTAAGCGTGTAGAGGTTACACTAGGTTATTTCGAAGCAGGAGACATGAAAAATGAGCAGTGCCCTCGCGGGACTCGAACCACAGACCTCTCGAATACGCGAAGACTGTACTTACCATTACACCACAAAGGCATGCTAAGAAGGCGGAAGAAATATCTTATATACTCCCCCTTTTAAAGGGCGACAGGGGATTAGGGAACCCAATCGCCAAATTCTGGTGGTGAAGAATTATCATCCACCACATTTTTTAGTTCGGGCGCCACTGTAGCAACATTAGGTATTTTTTTAAAAGCAGGAGAGAAGAAAAATGAGCAATGCCCTCGCCTGAACTCGATTCACAGACCTCTAGAACACGCGTCAAGTGTACTGACTACTAAACCTTGAAGGCGTGCTAAGAAGGCGGGGAAAAAAATACCCTCCCCTTTTTATATGGCGAGTGTAAACCTTAAATTTAAATAAACTAATAACCAAATGCTACACAGAGCAATTTGCGCGAAGTTGGCCTAGAATTTCACAGACGCTGATTCAGCTGTCGACAGTTAGAATGCAAGGACAAAGACAAGGATAAGGTATCTTATCTAAAGCAGTAAGCCTAGTGAAGTGGCCAAGAGTCGCAGAACACGCTATGTCTTAACAATGTCAAAACCTCACTGAAATACACGAGAACTAATTTGCATTCTAGTGGGAAAACGGAAAGAGGGAAGTGACAGGTCAGACTCAAAACATAAAATAACTGGTTATTCGAATTAAAGAAACCTCAAACGCTTTTCCAATTATAGGTTCTTCCATAAAATATGCTTTGCCTAATTCAATTTCTGAATTTACGTACTGCTTCTTAAAAAACATAATATTTACGCATATATAAAAACGAATTAACTGCTTAAATAGGAAACATTTCTCAAACCTGTTATGTTTCTTTTTTTCAAGTTTCCAGGCTGTGTAAAATAGGAAATTGTAAATGAAATACGATAACAATGCAAATTTTAATAGAGGATTTATAATGCTAAAATGCAAGCTATAAATATGAAAGGCAGACTGTTATAATATTTTGTTAATTGCTATACATTTTTCTTATTCTGTAAAAGCCTTCAATAGATTTTCCTAGAAGAATAATTGGACTTTGCAGAAAAAACGAGAACATTTTGAAATTTAACTGAAGTATTCAAATGTTAAGAGAACTCTAAAATGTGTGCTTATTTTAAAAAATAGATATACTCAAAATACATGTTCTATATAATTTTAAACTTATCATTTAGCTTAAAGTTTCATAATTTATTTTTTCCGAATGAGAATGACGCATTAACGCTTTTTCTCTAAAAAGGTTTTTCTGTGGCTGAGCTTTTTTCTTTATGAAGGGCGGATTATGCAAGATAAAAAAATCTGATGTGTACACCACATGACTTCCTTGTCCGAACTATTAAAATATACAAAATTCTTCTGCTATGGTTTATTGAAAAGGCATTACAAACACAACTTAGAATCAATTAGTGAATTGCATAAAATGTTAGTTTTTAATTAATATTTCTATAACTAAATTTTAGACAAAATTTCCCACTTTAATATACTTTAATTGGACTTTTATCCCCTTAATGAATTTGCATTCAAAACTGCATTTACCTGTATAAACGGGAATCTAAGTTACAAATTACATTTATTTTGAGCATAAAGTAAAGCGAATGGAGCATTTTGAAAATGTAATAATCACGAAAATTTCATTATGAGAAAAATACATTTTAAGAATATTTTTACGCTTACCTTTAATATTTACTTCTCAGCATGTCCTAATATATGATTTTATTTAATATAAATTATTTTAACATTATTTTACGTATGCATAAATAATTTTTCTACTAATAAAATCGTAGAATGGTAAGAAATACTTAATATCATTTTAGAAATTTTCTCGAACACTTTCAGTAAATTCAACTAAATGCATCTTTTAAACTAAGAATTACTTTAAGAACTTCCTGCACCGTATGTTTTCTCTTTCTTATTTACATTTTCATTATGTTTAGCTACTTTACACAGTTTTTTGGCAATTCTTCTTTTCTTGTATCGAGACGAACACCTCTTTTTACATAGGTCTATACGATGTGTATTTTGCCTTTGCCCAATAGATATTGAACATGAATTTATATAGTTCTGTTCCATACCTAAAGTATTTAAACACTCAAAACTGAAGTTACTAATTGCTGTGATAGCATCTATTTCGAGTTTGTTTTTAATACAAATATTTCTCTGGGCAGTTCTTTCAAATGACACTATGTAAACTCTCTTTAGTGTTTTGTGTTTCTACAAATATGCATCTTCCTAAAAGTTCATTACTGGCTAGTCTTTGATACACTGGCAGTATTTTGGACAAAACATCTATTGTTAATTTGGTTTTTATCATTGAATGAGATTTAGGTTTCTTGTTTTTGACAATGCTACTTGGAAATAAAAAAAAAAACATCATGATATGACGCCTATTAGGCATTTATAATGTCTATAATGTCTGGGATGAGTCATCCGGGGAAGAACAGTGAAACAAACTTGCATAAATTGCGGCCTTCCTATCTTACTCATTTATATCTTACTAATAGTAAAAAATATTAGTCACGGAAATTAAAATAGCGACTTTCAGATGTTTGTTTACCTTTTTACCGACATTTGTCACAAAAAAGGTAAACAAGCGTATTCAAATGCTTATAACATCTTTAAGAATAATTTTACACACAAGCGGTTTTTTGTAGACGATAGAGTTAAAACCGTAGAATATTATCATATGAAATTTTTGTTTCCCAATTTTTGATCGATTTTTCGCTAAAATCATCGACCACTAACTACTTAACACCTATGATAAAGATTTAAAATAAGTACACGGAAACATTTTAATGTGATTAAGTTTACGGAGATTATTTTGGATAACCAAAATTATATTATATTATAAATTTAAACGACCCAAAAACATCTCTGAAAAATGGCAGTATATTTCAATATACGAAACATAGTAGAAATATAGAAACACAAAGTTTTGCATTTATTTTAAAACAAGGGATAAGAGTTAATTCGTAGAAGACTGTCTGCAGTTATAACTCAAAATCCTGTTTACATATTTTTCATTTCCTTAATGTTTGCAGAAAATACCTGATCGATATTGAACCGTTAATATAATTATCCAAAGAGTTCACCATAATCTCGGTATTAGGAGAGAATTCCTTGTTAATTTATTTTCTCTCTGGAAAAGTTTTATGTGCTTTAATTATATCTCTGAAAAAGTGTCTAGTCGATGTGTTTCTTTAGAGGTAATTCCTCAGATTTTTGCAACATTAATGAAATGTGTACTGACATATTTTATTCACCAGCTTCGTTAACTAAACTTTCATTTCTTTTTTTCCTCTTTCATTGCTATCTATTTCGCTATGCAGTTATTTTGTTCCCCCGTTTTGCTACTTTTTAAATGAAGAAAGGCGTTATAAATCTTTAAAATATTGCATAAAAGAATTTGAGAATTTTTTAACTAAAGAGTAACATAATATTGACTCTTTTCTAGCCGCTGGTCATAGAGCTTTAATCGATTAATTTATTTGTTCACCCTAGGTTATTATATTTTTATGTTAATTTCTAATTTAAAACCGTTTAAAAAGAATAAAATTTATCAAAATACTAAAAACGGATAAAGATATTTAAATACTATGCAAATAATATTTTTAGAAGAATACTTGCATTAAAATACAGTGTTTGAAGAAGTTCGATATGCAGTGAACAACCTTTAGCCGTATAAAACATAGGATAGAAAAGCTCATTTCCATATTTTGACTTGATCAAAAGCTAATCCATTTTCCGACTTCATTTTGATTTAAATAAAGTTAGTTTCATACCATTTTGATCAATTTGCTCATTATTATAAATGAACTGTATTATTCTGCATGTAAATGAAAGCCCGGAGATGTACAGTTTAGTTATAATATCGAAATTAAAATATTATTGTCATCAGATTAAGCAGAAACAATGGAAAAATTAATTGTGGTTTTTATTTTTATATTGCTATATTTTAAAATCGAAAAATAAATACCCAAATAATAATTTAAGAGGGTCAGAGGCATTACCATAGAGGATCTAATTTCACTTTATAATATTTATATATTTATTTATTTTAGAACTTCAATCATTTAAAATTGGAAGAGAAATATCATTTGAGTTCTGAAAAAGGGAGAAAAGAGAACAAGCTTCTTATTCTTCATCTTGTGTTTTCTGTCAGCAATCAAAATTGCTCTGTTTTCGTAAAATTACAGTGTTAGAAAATTAGATTTGGCAACAGTCACACAAACATCTCAGAAAATACGTTCGGCATGCACGCCATTTTATGAACTTAATTTATTTCCATTTCATTTGTTCTACGAAGACTACTTTTCCAATTCATACTTAGAATTCTAATCTTTAATTTAAACAACTCAAATCCATCTACTTAATATTTTGAAGCGCCTATCTTTCATGATTTCTCTGCAAACACAACTGCCATACAGATGCATTAATATCAGCAGATTATGTTTATTAATATCCTAATGAATAATGCTGTTTTAAATACAATATTCACTACTTAGACTATTAAGTGTGCAATCAGAATCGCAATAATGTTGACCCTTTAATATGCATTCCTAGTATAGAAATTAATGATTTCTATTCCTTCTCTATGATAGCCAATTTCTAAAGCTGCTTTTTGATTTCAGATATAATGAAGGAACAGGCTTCTTGATGGATCCAATCAAAAATACCTCTTATGATGCAGATCCGGAGAACATCAGTCATCCAGCCTATGAGACCTTCCAGTCGGATTTATTTGCCAGGAAATGGATTGCTTGCTGCAGAGCAGCTTTGGAGCTTTGCTGCTGCAGCAGAATGATATCGGACCCCATGCTGAATGTAACTGGTGAGTAATTCTGCTGATGTGAATATAAATGCTTAGAACTGCATTTTCTTCGATTACCGTTGTCATGGAAACACGGAAGTCTCTTTCAAAAGAATGACTGAATCAGCAGTATCAGATTTTCTGGTAATTTGTATATATTTCTTTCTTGAGGTAGTATTGCAATTAACAAGAATGATAAGCAGAACGAAAAAAGAAACCTTTATGTACAGAAATAATTAAAAATTTGTAAATTAATTTTCTTTATTTTTAATCTTTTAACTTAATAAAAATATTAATATAGACGAAACAGAGTTTTAAAAAACATCAGTTTGATTTCATTTCATTTGTCTATACTCCCTATACTTGCAGTTTTGTAGTTCATAAGAACCTTTCCTTCAAAAACATTCTTATCATATCAAACGACAAAAGAAAAAATTTATCAATATGCGCTTTAGGCTCAATAGCTTTAATAAATACGCTTTCCTCTGTATTCGCTGTCTTTCCAATTGTGAAAAGTTTATCTATTACCTCTGTTTAGTTTTACTGAGTTTTTATAAAATTACCCTATTTATACATTATTTTAAGTCGAATGGGTTAATAGGCATATTTTGATAGTTTTCTATCAATGGCCCTGAAAAATTTTAATTATTTCCTGCATAAATTAATGGTTGCTGTTTCTTCATTATTTCGACATCCGAAATCTTTCATAGGAACTATCTGCTTTTATATAATAAGGCTAGCTATTATTTTCTTTGTTAATTAAAATAATTTGGCTCATTGGGAGAATGAGCCGGTGTTATAATACCTTTTTTATAATCCAATACCATTCTCAGAATGAAAATTGTCCAATCTCAAACTTTAAATGGATATGCTCCTTTTATATAAACAAAGTATAGTATACATGTAAATGTATAGCTCTCGTGAGGCTCCTCTAGCCAATTTTAGATAAGGGTGGACGTGATGCTGTACTGATAAATCTTTACGGCAAAGGGACAGTGCCCACGTCCATCGTCACTTATCACTTTATATGAAATAGGATATCCATTATTTATTTACCTGATAAATAACACCAGATAACTACCTTTCGTTCAGTTTACTTTTATACACTCTGGAGATCGTATCATCTTATAGGCGTGTTCCCACATGTATGTATGTGTTCTTAAAAATTGATGCTGTATTTTGTTTTCTTCAAAATGTTTTTAACATTTGTCCTGGAGAGTGAAAATGCTTAATTTATTGTATGACTGCAAGATCTTTGATTAAACGGAGAACTAAATGGGTAAATTTTTTAAATGGGTCACATGCACATTGCTTCATCTTATGTGGTTTTCATTTTTCAATATGTAGTCTGGGAATGCATATACGATTTTGACACATATGGGTAAAAATCATGTATGTTAACAAATAACATGCAGCCATTACAATTTCTTTTTCGCAGCATCTATTACAGTTTCTTCTCTACTGATTTGTTACCAAAAATACAGTGAAAGGCATTGGAATTATCTAGATAAATGTACTCTGAGTGGTAGGTTGTACACTTTGATAATGCTTCAGTGCGATGTTTAGTTACGATGTTAGGGTTTTCTTTAAGGGGTCAGGTACCTTTTGAAGGGTAAAATATGTCAAAAAAATTACTCAAATTACAAGTGATGTATCTCGAAAACTAATAGTCCCATAAAAAATGAAATTTCTAACACATATAGTAGAACCCTTACTTATTTGCTTAAGAATACTAAATAAGTCATGTGCATTAGTAAAACTTTTAAATAAATATTTTAATGTAGAGCCCCTTTTTTTATAGCTAATATTTGGACATTCACTGCGCGCAGCATTGCAACTATATAAAGCATAAGAGGAACCCAATTTTTTTTCATATGGGTAGAAAAATAATGTATCTTTAAAATGACGAAGATTTATTTTATTCAAATGTTCCTTTCCTACAAAAATAATTTTTTAAAAACAAAATTCAAATTTTTATCAAATTTTTTAGGCATAAATTAGCTACAATTTTAAAAGTTTTAACATAAGAACCATTTTGGTTCGTCATATTAAGCATATCTAGCATATAAACATCCATGTAAAATTTGGTGCACTTTGGAGTAGCCGTTTCAGAGAAATGCTGCGCGCAGTGAGTAAAATCATAGTTTTGAGAAAATTGACTTCAAAGATAAAAGTATGTTTTTGTCAAACAAATATGCATTATTTAAGAAAACTAAGTGTTCATATTAAATCAAATACATGATATAATTATTTATATCTGGATACTCAAGTATAAAAACATCTAAAAACAAAATAAGTTCACACAACTCATGAAAATATGAAACGAAAACTTTAACGCGATGACGAGAAAATTTACAATTTTTACACAAATTCACTTTTTATTCAGGCTAGTCATTTGGAGATTAATTTTTTCATACTGAGTGGTATTTGAATAAAATTACTTAAAATTCTCTAAAATTATATAATACAGGTTGTAAAAAAATGGACAATATAAGTTATTGTCCAAAAACAAAAAATGTAAATCGTATATATTTAAAATGCACCAGGTGAATATGTTTTGCCTTCATGTAACAACACATTCTCTGCAATAGCAGCCTTTTGTTTATTTCTCTTTTTCTTACGCATTTTTTTGCTTTGCAAAATGGCGCAATTTACTAGTTTTCACACGTTGCTCGTCTAATTTACATAGACATGCTCGACAACACGAACCAACTGACAGCCCAAGTTCCGCCAAACTTTTAATCTTCCCTGATTACCTTCATTGTAAAGTATTGTGGCCTCACTCGTTGCTATTTCAGCAATTCTTCTTCCTGAAACCAAGGGTCTTGGGACACAATTTCCAAATCAAATTATTTAAAGATTCATTGCAGTTTCGTGTCTTTCCGCCAAGACATCTTCGCAATAGTGTCGGTTGTGATAAATCATTAAATATTGGTTTAATAACATCCATAACACAAAAAAAATGAAGTGTTGGTTTATGTCTGAATTCACTCACAGTTCCATTAGCTACAGCTATTTTGGTATTTACACGAAGATATTGGGACCTATTAGACAAAACGTATGCAGCGGTTCGACATCAGTTGACCGTGTGTGAAAATAGATTGCCCATATAGCATTACGCATTTCCGCCAAAGAAGTTTTGTGTTCTCGAATTGCATTACCATAGTACGCAGTCAATTTGTCAATTTGTGTATCAGTTCAAGACGACCTTTTCCTCCTATAGCTTTTCCATCTGCACATTTTATACCTTTCTGTTTTTCTGTTTCAATTTTCTGAGCCGCGTTCCCATTATCTTCTGAATATGACCAACACATTCGATTTTAGAAACGGACACATCAGAACCATAGGGCTGGGCCCCTCCGTTATAGATTGAAAACGTCTTGGAATCTCCATCGCCTATGTATCCAATATATTTTCACATCATGCTTCGTTTCTGACCGCTGGAAAATTCCGAACCATACCGACGACCTCCATTTACCGCAGAACCATTGTAATTCATAAGACACTCCGCTTCATGTTTTATTGGGTTGGAGGGAAAGTTCTGTCGTATTTTAAGAAAAATATTTGAATTCATTTATAAAGGTAACCTGTAAATTCCTGTTTTGTAGAAGTTCTCATCCATGGAGTTAAAATAGTCAGCAACTGCCTTTGAAACACTTTCAAAAGACTTGAATTTTTTTCCCGTTAGATAATTTTGCAGAGATCTGAACAGGTAATAATCAGAGGGTTGCAATGTCAGGTGAATACGGGGGGTGACTAAGGATTTCCCATCCTAACGCATTCAGTTTTTGTAGTGTCACCACTGCAGTATGCGGGCGAGCATTATCGTGATGGAACACTATTCCTTTTCTGGACGCTAATGCTGGCCTTTTTTCTTTGATAGCTGCATTCAATTTATCCATCTGATTGCAGTACAGATCCGCGTTGATGTTTTTTTCCCTGTTTCAGCAACTCGTAATACACTGGACCTTTCAAACCACCACAAACAAAGCAGTACTTTTCGTTGATGGATACTTGGTTTTGGAACTGTTGCTGATGATGTTCCTGGTTTGCAGTAAGATGTTTTTCTTTTAATATTCTCGTAAAGAATCCACTTTTCATCTCCAGTAACCAGCCTGTCCATAAACGGCTCCACATTGTGTCTAATCAGATGTGATGAACATATTCTTACACCGATCAGACAAATTCTTTCCCGTTAATTCATGTGGAACCCAAACACTCTGCTTTAACACAAACCCAAGAGATTTAATGTGATCTCCAACAGTTGTATGATGAATGCCAAACTCTTCTGCAATTTCTCGACTTGTTAAATGTGGATTATTTTTCCAACATGGATCGCAAAACATCATTATCGATCTTGGATGGTCGTCCAGATCGAACACTTTCTTTGAGGCCTAGGTCCCCGGAACGAAATTTGCTAAACCATCTTTGACGAGTACGAACATTTACAATATCTTTTCCAAATACCGCACATAAATTTTACATGCAACCAGATGCGTTGCTTCCATTTTGGAATTCATATAAAATGCAGTGTCGTAAATGCACTTTATTCTACCGACATGTTTTTCCCTTTAAATATTACAAGTAAATGATGAACGGTAAAAAAGAAGCACCTTTTTATATTATACAGCAGCTGAAAAATAAAAAAATTTTACAAAAAAAAATCCGATTGACTCACTAGCCAGATGTTTTTTTTATTTACAAGAAAAATCACCTGCCTATTTAAAATACGACAGAACTTTCCCTCCAACCCGATATTTTCCAGTTATCGTACTCTGGTGTACCTTTCATGGAATTCCATGTATCACATGCCTTACAAAAAGATGAAAGAACCTCTGTGTCGAGAACCTTACCACTTTTGTCTCCAATAACGGTACACACACTTATTCGTGATGTGTGTCCCCTGGTTTTCCATGAACCATCGCCGCTAACCACAACATTTGAAGAACCCGTTAGCTGAACTTCTTCGCAAGCAGCATTTTTCATGGATTGTTGTGCCACATTACTTGAGCACGTCATAA